ATGGATATGGTTGGAACCGCCCCCCCCCCCCCCCACTCCGGTGAAAATAATCATCTACGCCACTGGGTACCAACCAAAGATTCTGCCTTAGAGTTATAAATTTTTTATTAGTCTACAAAGTGGCTTTCATCTACAAACTGGTTTTTATCTAAAAAGTGGTTTTCATCAGAAAAATGTCTTTTATCGATTCAGTGGCGTAGCTAGAGGGGTGCGGACCGCACTGGGTGACAGTATCCCAGGGTTGAAACCAAATTGAAAAATTGCATATTTACTGAGCACACACTGATCGGTATTTACTGAATTTCATAAAAGGACACCCAATCACACGTATATTTTCCATATGTGTAGCCAATCCAAATGCATGCTTTATAAAAAGTTCAACGTTGATGCGTCAGAAATAAAGGGACCCTGCCTATAATTACCGTATTTTCTGGCGTATAAGATGCCTGGGCATATAAGACTTCGCCTTACTTTCCCTGTTACAAAATAGGGTTTGGGCTATACTCGCCGTACGGTACTAAGACTACCCCTCTTCCATCGCACACCAAATAAAAATTTAAAAAAACATCAGATTTGATTTCAATATGATAATTTTTTAAATCAAATGCTTATGACATGCAGGTACTTAGCAGTTTTAGGTGTCACTTATAAACATAAGGCTGCTGTCATCAAATATGTAAACATAAAACAGTGCAAGTGAATTAAAATTTTCCTAATTCATTCCAAAGCTGAAAGGAAGGATATGACAATAAACCCATGGGAGCTGCCATGTTGTTTGTTTTCTAAGCTGTCAAACCAAACTGGAACTAGAGGGCGCCTGTCCCTGAAGTTTGAGCACGCCATATACCAGCTTATAAGACGACCCCCTGGCGTATAAGACAACCCCCGGCGTAAAAGACGACCCCCGACTTTTGAAAAGATTTTCATGGGTTAAAAGTCTTATACACCGGAAAATACGGTAGGTCATAAATACACCTTTTTGACCATTATTCAACGCCGACTGAAGTGTTTGGGAACTTTCGTAAGTGACAGGAAGCTATATGTTACAATATGTATCTAAATTCTGAGAAATAAAGCATTCCATTGGTACAAAAGACGATATGGTCGGGCGATTCTAAGTAGGATCGCCAAAATGCATCACTACATTTTGAATTAATAAAAAAATATTTGAGAAGGGCTAAATAATCCACCTCCGTAGTAGGCCTATCTCCCTTTACTTTCACTCCAGTGTATTCGACACCACAGATTTCTGATTCAACCCCCTGGCCCACACACCAATCAGTGTGACAGAATGTGGGCGAAACGAAGCTCGGGCCAAACAATACAATTGGGTGCCCCACAACCGAAGTTAATTAAGGCTATGACTCGTTTTAGTGCTGATAGACCCCCCGCCCGCCTTATTTTAAAAAAAAAATTCCTCTCCTTGCATCACATTTTCTGAAAGAAACACTGAATTCAGGTACACGCCGAACTGCACCCTAGATTTTTCCAGCCCCATCCACGGTATAAAGTCTGCAGTGGGTCGAAAATGCCGCCCCACTATAAAAGGAAAGCAAAGGTCCCTGGTGGCGGACAAACCGCTACATCTCCTTCCTACCCCACCCCCACCCAATAGAAAAGATTGTTTGAAAGAAATACTGCGAGGGAACACACCTAAGTCTAAGCCTAAACCAGATACCCATCCCTTATCCAAAAATAAATGTGCCGTTGTATGTACTACGTAGCAACAATTAGAAAAATACATGAAAGCCGTTCCTTCATGCAGGACTCGATCCATGCGCGGGTTTCTTTGAACAGATTTCCATGAAATACTGCTGAAATTACAAAGACTAGGGCTTCAAATTCAAAGGACACAATTTTAAACTATTGACTATTGTAAAAGCGATTTTAGCAAACTTCGAAATGATCAGTGGAAGAAATAAAACAAAACAATGGATTTATCGTTAAACAAATTTGATCAACATTTCTTCAGCCACTATAATTAATTAACAATAGTTAATTATTTTTTTTAAAGATGAAAAAGCTTGAAAAATATTCATATTCAGCAAAACAAGGACTATTTCTTTATTATTTATTTTAAGACTTCGCTATATTTTTTAATTTTGTGACGTCATGAAAAGTACTATGGAGGCATTATTTTTAATCGTTTTACTTTACGCCAAATGAAGACTTATCCAATGGTGCTATGAATCAGTATCGGGTTGGCGTTGGGATTCTAGTATTATCTGCGGGCACCCTTTTGGCTGTTACGCTGTGGAAGTTTTTCAAAGGAGACAACCCAGATGATGAGGTATGTTACTGTTAAACCTAAGCAAACTTATCGTTTTAAATTTAAATTAAATTGTGTATGAATCACTATATAATAATAATATATACTATTATTACTACTATGAATAAAAAAATAAGTCACGTCTTATACTTCTTATAGTATAGACCAAGGGTCGGGAACCTATGACTTGCGAGCCAGATGTGGCTCTATTGATGGCTGCATCTGGCTGGCAGACAAATGTTTGATTATAAAAAAACGTCGCATTATTAAATGGTAAGAAATACTCATTATTAATTAGCAACAGTAACAGCATTTCAATGTTATTAAAAAGAATTCAGAGTCAGAGACATAATTATTGCATTTTTAGTGTTGAAATTACACAAAATGCACATATTTTCTTGAATTTTTAGTTTTCAACATAATGTATGACTCTCACAGAATTACTTTTCAAAATATGTTGTGTCCATTGCTCTCCCAGACAAAAAGGTTCCCAACCCCTGGTATAAACATACATAGTACATTTAGCATAGGCAATAGGGCTTTTTTGGTGATATGTTGTGTCACTTATACTTATATTATTACACATTTTTAGTATAAGTATAAGGCTTTTTTTGGTGATATGTTGTGTTGCCTATAGGCCTACTTGACTTATGTTAAAAATAACCAGCCTTAAATGCCTATAAATTATAAATAAAAAGCTTAAAGAGGTTAATTTTTCAAACAATTTTATTTCTATCAAGATAAAAAAACAAACATTTAGTGTTTATATTTTTAACTTGCATCATTATTAATTAGAATTAGGTCTATAACTATACTATTAGACTATAACCGTAAATAATTAATATTACGAACTTTCAACTTTGTAACAGTAGAGTTTTGCACACCTTAAAACCTAAAGATATAGGACAGAAATTAACAAGGTGTTAAATGAGAATTTTAGGGGAGAAGTTTCACTACCTTCAAACTTAATGTCAAAACTTTACAGCTGGCAGTAATGAGTACATAACTTTTTATCTGATGTATTCCAGGCATCCCAGTTGTGTAGATTGGTTTCGCCACGCAGAAGTAAAGATGATGACAGACGCTTACAAATAAAACGCAGACGAGAATGTATGTATATTAACATAATTTACATTACACGTAAACTCTCTCTCTAGTTTTCAAGATATGAATTTATTACTTTGCTAAATACTTTTTACCTTAGTTTACAATGAATCAATAAGTTTATTTCATTTATTTAATCCGTCATTGTGAGGGCTAGTGCTTGAGCCAACAGCCAAAGAACTACACTTCTGTTTGCTTTATCTGTGAGCACTGTCTTCAGGGTTAGGTTTCTGTTCAGTTGATCATTATCACTTAAAAATGCCAAGTCTCTTTTATTTCTTTCATGGTTTCATTGTGATTGTTCCTGGGCTATCCATCTGAGAAGTGAGCTTGGTGACCTGTATATTTTGTGAAATTTTTTAAAAGGCCAATATATGTCTTAATAGCCATATACAAAAAATTAATTTTAAAAATCCTGGGTTAGGAATTTAGCTAAGGAAACTTCCAAATTTTATTGTTATGTGTTTGTGGAATTCCAGTGGTCTAATCTTTAGAGGAAAACAATACATTGACTCCCATATAGACTCCTGACTTGATTTGCTTTTATTATTATCTATGGTCACTTTTTGGGATACAAAATTTTTTTTATCCAAACACATAACTTCTTTTTTTTCAGATCGTCCGAGAAATTCAAAGACAGAAGATTTATACCATGACAATCCTAACTGCAAAAGGCAGAACACTATGTAAT